TAATAGGAATAATACTTCTTTTTACTTTCTCCCGTCTTTCATGTGCCATTATCTTTTTTGTCCGTGCCTTGATATTTTCCCAGCATTTCTTCAGCTGCTTGAAATCTCGTAGTGATACACTAGGTTGAGAATTATATTCATGGGCCAGTGCTTGCCAAGTACGTTGTTTCAATGCAATAGTTCTTGCGTCACTTTTTTTACACTCAAGAACATATTTGTATTTTTCAACTAATGCAAGCAGCACACTCTTTTCCACTTCTGAGAAGTATTTAGCAGGTTTTATTATTTCGTTGTTTTGCATTTTCTACTGTTTCTCCGGGAAGCCAAAAATCCTATGAAAACAAAATGTAAAAACAAATAAGGATTGGTAGTGCATTCTAACATCAAATACTTGTATATCAGAAAAGGATTCCGAAATTATATTTTCACTTAATTTCTAAATTCTGCAAGGCTTTATGCTCTTATGCCTTCTTTTAGGCATACCCTAGATGAATAAGATGTTGAGAACACCTGAATATTTTGTCTAGTTATCTACAGAATAAATATCAGCTTTTCTGCAACAACACCTTGCTAAACTGTTATGTAACAAGCACGTGATACAGGATCAATTTCCCACCTTGACTGAGATTGGCAAGCCACATAGGCCACACTCTGTTCCACAGCATCAAATAACTAGGTGTCTTTATAAGAGTGTTTTACCTACAGAAATAATTTAATTGAAAAGGGATATTTACGCCATCCCCCTCCTTTCCAGCAAATGAGGTTTTAAAATATTACTGCATAACTGCTGGCTGAATGTCTAAAATCTAGTCTTGAAAGGATTACACAGCCTCTTTCAGGCTGTTTAATCTAGTAATAGCTATAAAGTTTTCTCTAAAACGTAACATACATTTTACCTGCAGCACTTTAAGAAAATTGTCTCTGTTCTGTCATTGCTGATTGAGAATTGGTCTCTTTCCCCTTTTCAACATACCTTTCCAATGTAAAAATGTTTTATAATAATAGCATACATTTTAATATCCCATTTATGATTTGGGCTTGTTATAACGTTTATAAAAATAGTCCTAAGATTTTTTGAAACTTGATCACGTCTTGAAATGTATTCATTTATTGTAATTTTCTTTTAGTAAATACATCCCCCACCCCGACACACACATGTTCTAAGTCACACAGTCTTATTTCATTCTGCAATATTATAGGATAGTTAATTCTGCCATTCTACAGAAAGCCATACTGGAGGACTAAAGATACTTGGAAAAATACCACAAGGTTGGGATGACACAGGGTTTGAACCAGTAAACTTGCATGCATTTATGGGGAGGGCTAGGATATGTCTACACTAAAATGGAAGTCAGCATTCTTCCATCCACATACAAATTTGTCTGACTCAGGTCACTAAGCCAGCGGAACCTGGACCTAGAACACACTGTGGGTGGGTCCAAGACAGACAGATTGTCCAAACTATCATTTTACAGCATAGATTGAGCTTGGGTCTGGTTTCCCAGACTCATGTCTTGGAAGTCCACCAAAACTATATTCCACTGGCCCATGGGCCAGTGTTTTTTGGCCTCTCTATCCCATAACTAGTCAATCAACTCCCAGGAAACAGAAGTAATCCCTCAAGCACAAGTCTGGGTGTTCATTATTTAACCCTTCCTTTTATTCCAATCTCTGAGCTAGAAACAGAGTGAACCATCTCATGTGTTAGCTATGTGACTGACAAGAAATCCTTTGCCAAGCTCAGTGCTACCACTCAGATTCTGGTAAATCTCTGGTGTGACAAAGGCACCATGTTCAGCTTCCATAATGACCAAGAAATGTTGGACAAGTTGGCAGCATTGTTGTGTTTTTTCCCCTGTGATAGGGATATAATCCACGTGTACAGCAAAAAGAGTCTATATTGTTGGGGGGGAAGGGTGCATGTAGTCTATAGACAGCTGTAGCCCAAGCAGGCTGTCTCTTAAGCCATAGCTGCACCAGGGTAATTGCATGAATGCAGTAGTTCACAGGGAAGCAGTAATCCACATGGAAGCAAGCACAGCATCTTGTTGATTTCATATATTTTCACACAACCCTAGGTGCTGACCATTGCAAACTTTTCCTATGTTAGGCATTCCAGATAAGAAAGACATTTTTGGGCAAGGCATACTTTCTGGGCTCTACTCTGTAGGTCACCAGTTCATTCCCCTTGTAGATGTGTCAGTCAGTCACCATAAGCTTCAAAAACCTAGTTAACACACACAGCTGGCTTACCCCTGATAACTTGAGGCAAAAATATCCCTTCGCCATTCAGGATCCTCCAGAAGTGTTATGCCCTCTAGAACACTTAATGCTTGAATTTCAGAACAGAAGGGGGATGGGGGGGGGGAGGTAAATGTCTTTGAGCTAATGATATTAGAGGTGATAATTGGGGAAGCTATCTTTGTAATGGGTAAGATAATTAGCGTCTTTATTCAAACTTGAGTGTAACGTGTCGAATTTAAGCATGAATGACATTCAGAGGATTCTCTTTCAAGTGAAGTCTTAAAAGGCCTGTGAAGCAGGATGCAGGTACCCATCCCCCTTCTGTTCTGAAATTTGATTTGTCCTTTTCATATGTGTTCATTTTTTTTAATTGTATCCTTTTGTATATATGGTTGTGACAATTTTCTTCCACTATTTGATCGGAGGAAGTGGGTCTGGCCCACGAAAGCTCATCACCTATTAAACCATCTTATTAGTCTTTAAAGTGCTACATAGTCCTGTTGTTTGTTCCAGAGGGAGAAGGATTCACAACAAGTTAAAAGGCACAGTCTGAAGAAACTTTCATTGCAGTGCAGTTCCTTCAACAGGAAGGTCACCTGAGGGAGGAAGACAAGAGTGCAGCAGAAAGACCTGTTTCAGAGGCTGCTTACAGTAATGGCCAGGAGAAGGCAGGCTTCTGCTCTATCTACACCTCCCGTGCAATGTTCCCTGTAATATTTTCCATCCATGTGCAGATTTTTTCCATCCACATGCAGAATAATTTTTATGTGCACCGTGGCATGTGAATGTACCTTGCCAGTAGAAACAACACCTCGCTGGAGGCACTCTGCTAATTACCTGGGCAGCATTTGAAACTCTCCTGAGTAGCTGCACAACTTACAGGGAACACTGCCCCTGTGTCAGCACCATTTCTGCAGTCCCTTCCTTGTTACTATATCCTGCAGATCAGGAACCCACTGGATAATTCTGTGGTTGGGTGGTGTATGCAACCAGGACGGAATGCTAGTAGGACTGTGCAAGTATATTCCATGTAATTTTCCACACATCTCTGAAACCACCTCATGTGCATGTAAAATGTACTAGAAAAACAAAGAATATGAGGCAGGGGACATTCTGAAGTGGGGGATTTTTTTTTTCTTTTTGTGACACTGGTTTCATAGTTTTGAGTAATTCACTGTTTGATATATTCACTATTTTGTTTTGGTCATTTCATGGCAGCTAGCCTTATACATGTTTTAAAATAATACATTTTAATATATTCATGTTAAAGTCTTTGAGCCAACCCAGTATTTGTCTGTGCAACACGCACTCTAGTATTTTGTCCAGTGCAGTGAGGCTTCTCTTACTTCCCTTAGGAGATCATTCCAAAATGCAATACATTTCACTTAAAAATGTTTCCTGACATTCAGCCTAAAATTTTTCCTTTCTTCATTTTATCCCACTAAATCCTAGTTATTCCTCATTTCCCCACCCTAAATAAACACTTTCCCTCAAATCTGTTTACAGCTAGCTATTCTTTTCTCCTTTCTCAGCAGAGAGAACTGATTTATTCATATTTTCAGACTGAGTGACAGGAGGAATGAGCAAATATCAAGAGAGGGATACAAAATGCAAAGAGGAAATACAAAAAAAAATCAATGAAATCAAAAGAACAGAAACCTTAGAAAGAGAACTGTATCCTAACCTAGGGACAAAACAGAAAAACAAACTATGAGCTAGGAAACGTAGCAAGGTGAACAGGAAATAAAATAAACTCAATGTCAGGGAATAAAGATACAGTGGAGAGGTTGGGGCTGAGAGAACACAGTGGAGAGGCTGGGGCTGAGAGAACACAGTGACAACAGATGGAGAAAATACTGCTTCCTCCTATTTGGCCATTTACATCTTGATTTTTCATTTCGTAAGGAGGAAAAAAGCAGTAGAAGAGACAGAGATGAGTGTCTTGCAGATGAGGAAGAACCCTGTTGTGACACTCCCTGACGCACATTATGGCAGAGGTACACTTTTTCCCTGTGGAAGTCTGGTCTCCTCAACTGATAACAGAGGAATTCCTCTGCATCTGTAACCCTAGCAATGCACATACTCTATGTACAAAGAAACCCAAGAAGTGCAGCAAACCAGGTATTCTAATTGCTATATGGAACACAAAGACAAATGTATTTGCTTTAAAAGTTTCTTCAATATAATGGGGAAAAACAATTTAAGAACAAGTGAAGAAACTGCCATCTTGATGATATGATGCAAACTAGGAATGAGTAGATCAATGTTCCTATAAGACAGCATTCGAAATTAGTAATTGCTGTTAGGTAAAAAATCAATGCACTCTGCCCACTCATCCATCTTACCTAGGACTTAGTCTAATATAGTACTAGGCTCAGCAGCTTCAAACAGCATCCAAAATCAAAACCAAATCTTAGCAACAAAGTGTGGCTTTTCTCCCCCTTCCTCCCCCAAGAAAATTTTACTGAGGTCTGGGTTGGATAATATTCATTCCTATACCACTCACAGGTGCCAGCTTCTTCCTTTCCCTGGGGCGCTCAACCCCTGCTCAGCTCCAGACCTTGCCCCTCACTCCGTTTCCTCCCCCATGCTCCACCCCTTGCCCTCCTCTTCCTGCTCTTGCCCTGCTCCTTCCCCTAATTCTGACCCTTCCCCCAAGCATGCCCTGACTTTGCTCCTCCCTCTTCCCCTAGCACATCCTGCAAAAGAGCTGACTGAGGCAGGCAGGAGTCATTGGGAGGGTGCGGGAGGAGTTGATGGGTCGGGCTGGAATGGTGTGGGAAGCTGGCTGCCGGTGGGTGTTAAACACCCACTAATTTTTTCTGTGGGTGCTCCAACTCTGGAGAACCTGTGAAGTTGGCACCTGGGATACCAGTGTGACAAGTTTAAAGTTCAATACCTTACAACCCTGAAGAACTAGGATGAGAGACAAAGGGAGATTTTCCATTTTCTAATGGGCCATGATGCACTTGCTTTTAGCTCTTGAAAAGTCAGAGGTATCAGATGATCAAAGCATGGCAATGTTATGTCAAAAAAAGCCATTTAACTTGCAAAGCTAAGCACTTTAGAGAGGTGTTTAATTTCTTTTAAATAATGTAGTTTTAACTTCTTTTTCCCAATGATACCTGGAAATCTGGATTCACTCTAACTCAAGTACTTGACTTTGCAGGTGTCTAAAACTGTACAATCAGCATATGAAACGTAAATGATGTTATGGTTCAACCACTCATGAATAATGTCACCATCTGAAAAACTTACATGTAAACCTTTTATACCAATACATATTACCAGGGCTCGACAAATAATACAATCTATTCGCCCGTGGCGAGTAGATTGTAACCCAGAAGAGCCGGGTTCGGGCGATCTGCGCATGCGCAGATTGCTAGACAGTGCAGCTGGCAAGCGGGGCTCGCCGCAGTTCAGCAAGCCCCGCATATTACTAATATTATTATTTGTATTGTGGTAGCACCTTGGAGTCCTTATCGTGGACCAGAAACTAAGCTCTGTGTAAATACATAACAGACAGATTGTCCCTGCCCCAAAGAGCTTACATATTCATTCTCTCTCTCACACACATATCTTATAAATATTTCTGAAAGTTTGTTTGTCCCGAAAGATCTCCAAAACGGTAAGAGCTAGAAACATCAAATTTTGCACGGGTACTACTGATTTTCTAACTTAAATCACTGGATTGGTTATATCTAGAAATCAACTCCTCCAGGTCTCCCAGAGCCCCAGTTGGGCCCACTGATAATTCCAAAACATCTCCGAAACAGTAAGAGCTAGAAACACAACATTTTGCATTGATGCTCCTGATTTCCTAACTTAAATCACTGGATTGGTTATATCTTGAAATTGGTTCCCCCAAACCCCAATTGGGCCCACTGATAATTAGCTTTTAGTAGCACCTGATCATAGGCATTTGGTGGACTCTTCTGTTAAGTGTATCACATAAACTGCAACTACGAGATCCTAGAGGATAAAGCATGTGGGCACCTGCAGCACCATCAAGGGAAAGCCCATGGGGGAGAGGCTACAGTGGGGCAGAGAATCAGCAACCTCCCCTATATTAGGGCACCAGCAGGTCTCCAGGACAGACCCAAATGTGGATGATGCTGGCTGGGGTCTACCCTTGCTAATTGTGGCTGGGAGAAGCCTCCAGCTATCACAGCCTCTTAACATCTTCAAGCAGCCGGGCTCTGACTGAACCCCTTCTGGAAATTACAGTTTCTTCCCTCCCCCCACACCCAAACGAGCCATCCCACCACTTGTCCTCCTTTGGGCTGCGTACGTTCTCCTGGCAGGACTGTGTGCATTATCAGCAAGTGCCACAGGCATTATGCACTTTGCAGGATTCAGCTCACAGTACAGAGGAGGTGGGTAGGAGGATGAGGTTTTGAGCACTGTGGAGCCTGAGGAGGACACGGTACACTCAGAACAGCCTATTCTCATTAGAACAGGTACGTTCAGCTGCTGTATGTTCTGATCATCTAGATACCACTAACTGCACCTGATCTGAAGGGGTTTTGCTTTCTCTGATCAATGCAACTGGTCCAGCTGCTGCTAGGAAGTCCATTCAGGTTGCCCCATGGAGCGTGCACTGAAGGCACTCGGGGAGTGGCTACTTGGGGAGCAGTGATTTGCTGCTGCTGCAGAGCTCAGGAGACATCCCCTCCATTTCTCAGGGCTTCTGGCAAGGAGGCTGCAGGCATTGGTTTGCATAGAGTCTTTAAGAGAAGATGGGCCTTCCTGATTTGTGGGGATTGAGAAAAGGGACCCTATGGGTTTTGTCATTTTGTAAGCACATCACTAGCGGTGTTAATTTCTTAAAGTAATATATAAGAGAACTATTTCCAGTAAAATATGCTATGTTAATTTAAATAACATAATTCATTCACACACCTTTTACTATATTTTCCCTGGGCGATGCCGGGTATTTCTGCTAGTACTTACTATTATAATCAGATCTTTGCATATACATATAGTTTGCCTATGGCCCTATGGAGTAGGCAGGGTCATGGCCTGACCCCAAGAAGGAAGGAGACTGCCAAAAGATGTTTGAGATCACTAATGACTAAATGCATCACAAAGGAACTCTGAAGTACCTTCTCTTAGATACTTGATCCACTTTCTTCAATATGCTGAGGTACACTTCCAGCCATTAGATCATTAAGAAGTGCCTTGAGATATCAAAAGATCTGATGTTTGAAGAAGTAGCAGTGAGACACATCAATACATTTGTCCCTTATGTGCGTGGAATAACGTCTGGAAGCTCTTTGGCCATAGGATGGGCGGAAAAACTCCCATAGCCCATATCTCATGGAAAAAATACTTTCCATGTGTAGGCCGTGTATGGGCCATGGACCATATAAGTGCTCTCTAAGCCTTGGTCTACATTAGAGATGTAAGTGAGTAATCAACTAACCAATAAACCTAAGCTTATCGGATATTCTTATTGACTACATGCATTTCCTCCCCCCCTCCCCCCCGCTGTCTCAGTATCAGAGGCAGCAAGGAGGGTAAGCAGAAGTCATTGCCTGGGGAAACTGGCTTAAAAGCTTGTTTCCCCTGCCACAGCACCATCTCCACAGTGCCACCTGCCCCGCCCCGTGCTGCTGCCTCTGTCAGATGCAGCTGCGTGGGAGGAGGCGGCAGGGGAGGCTGCTGCAGAGCAGCCCCTGTCTGCAGTGGCCTGGGCTGGCTGTGGGCAGAGGCTGCTCTAGCATCAGCCCCTGTCTGTGGGGGTCCCAGAAGACAGGGGCTGCTGCTGGAGCAGCCTCTGCTCACAGTGGGCCCAGACTTGCCACAGAGAGACTGCTTCACGGCCGCCTCCCCTACTCCCCACCCAGCAGCCTCTGTCCGTGGGGAGCTCAGACCCTCGCGGACAGGAGCTGCTGCCACTCCAGGCTGATGTCTCTATCAAAGGCAGCAGCACTGGGTGACAGGCAGCAGGTCTGCATGGGGAGCTGGTTTTTAAATTGGCTCCCCTTTTAAACTGGTTCCCACCTGGAACCCCGCACTACTGCCTCTCATACAGTGGCAACAGCATGGGGTGGCAAAGGGGTCCCCAAGAGTGGGGCTGGACTGTACTGACTGCTGGCCCTGCCCCCGGGGACTATAGAACAGTCAACTAACCACTAAGAATTCATGTGGTTAGTCGACTATTCTATTACCCAAGAGCTAGCATCCCTAGTCTATGCTAGGGAGTTGTTATGAAATAACAAGTAATACGGTCACATTACCAAGCCTGTTATTTTGAGGTGTAAGGGGCTGGTTATTTCAAAATAATAACTCCTGCTTTCCTTGGGCACTAAGCTTATTTTGAAATACTTATTCCGGGTGTTACTTCAAAATGTTATTTCAAAATAATTTCCTAGTGTAGACATGTCCTAAGTAACTTAGTAAGTAGGATTTTTTTTGTTGAATTGGAAGCAATTTTCTATGGATGTCCCAAGGCAGCCAGCAGAATCAATCTGGGAACAAGCAGGTACAAAAAAAACCTGTTACATGATAAATCCTGAGAAACAAAGAACTAAAGTATTCTCTCACCCTTATCTGTTCCCACACAAATTCCTCTTAGTCACAAGAATGTGCAGCAAATAATTTCAGTATGCCTAACAATACATACTTTGCATTAAAACAAATTAGTGGATTAAGAATTACATACTGTGCAAATGGGGAAGCCTTTATTTTCAAATACTATGCTATTTTCATTCAACTTACCTTGGAAAGAACAAAATGTTCAACTTTTTATGTTTGTCTGTTTCTGCGTTATATGCTGGCAAAAGTAGGTTGGGAGAATTATGATATTTTTAAAAGCTACACACAGAGAGAAGGATAAAAGCAGGTGTGTATTATTTTATGCACACATTCACAGTACTCTAACTCCAACATCTGCACCAATTTCATGAGTACCTTTAAAAAAAATCTACTTTCAAGCTGAACCCAAGGACGGACAATTTCAGCTTCAAAAGACACTTTTTTGAGAAAGTTATAAGCAGTATAAGAGTGAATTAGAATGGAAAGCTTTACTCAACCCTATCTTCAGTTTTCATTAACCACAAACTATACTATATATGGATATCATCTACTATTTAACTGCAGCCAACTCTGGGGTGTAAAGTTAAATTCATTTAACACCACACAGCGACATTAAAGACATTAATAGTTAAGCAGAAAAAAGAATAAATGTATCCAATTTAAGTTAAACAGAAAATGAGAGTAGATAGTGTAATTATCAGAATTAGACATTGATCATGACACCACAGCTAAAACCATTGTTTTTAGAGTGTGGGGGGAAATGGCATGGGATTTGTAATGATCCAAAGCAGCAAGGTTATTACACTTTCATTTAATTCAAATGAAGAAAATTCCAACAGCCCACTGTCCCACTTCCTACAGCATCTGGGTTTCTCAAAGATCTCCCATCCAACTAGCACCCAGGGCTGACCCTGTCTAGTTTGAGATGTAACAAGATCACAGTGTGAGACAGTACAGCTGGTTTTGCTAAAAGTAGATTTTCCACTATGTGAATTCACACTTGTCTTTAAAAACTTGGTAATTAAACATACATTACTAATCAGAATGAGATCTATACATGAACTATAACATTAACATTAAAATCACGTTTTAAAAAAAATCTCTTTTCTAATCTTATCTGTTTTAATACAAAGTGTTAATAGTTATTGTGGGTTGTTAAATATAAGACGATAATGAAATAGTTACAGTGCCTAAAACTGTTTGTATTCCTGTACTGACAAAATGCATTTTTTTAAAGCAACCCAACCTACTAGTTATGGAGGATATCAAAAGCAGTTTGTGTAAGGCAAGAGGTAACAGATGCAGGTTATTATTTCTAATGTTTGCCTGACGTCTCTTTTCAGGATAGACAGAAATATAAATCCTACCAGGCTTTCATGCATCAGGACATCTCAAGCACTAAGAGCTTGTTCTTATTCCCTTGCTGGTTCCTTCTTTTTTCTTCTAGTTAAAGGAAACGGAGAACAGATTCTAGCCTGACAAAGAAGAATGCACCACCCAATGCATGCATACAGGCTGCGTCTGATACACAAATACAGGAACATAAACCATGGCAGAAATAATGAAAAATGTTCATGTTATTACCCCAAGTCCCAGGAAGGCCTCGCTCTGTTGTATATGTAAAAATAACCCCACCCTTAGATACCAAAGCACAGCCCAAATGATTTCTCTGGACTCTTAACAAAGCACCACGATTACCAATCTAATCCCCTCCCCCTACTCCGTTACTGTGGCGGGGATGGGCCTCTTTCCTTCTTTACCTCCCTGCCGGCAGGTCAGATACCACTCCTTCAGCTCCTACCAAACTCCGAGCTGGATTTTCCTGCCCTTCAGAGCGATACAAAATGAAAGGAATCCATTTCATGTATGTTCCATTCGAGGAAGATCCAAAGTGGATGGATGAGTGGATGTTATTTTCAAGTGTTATTTTTAGGGATTTGACCACCTGTATCCCATGTGCCAACTTTTAAACTTGAAAAGGAGGGAAAATTTGGTTTGATGTGGGAAAAATAAAGTTTCAGGTTCTAGGACACTCTAAAATATCAGGTGTAACATCCTTCATTTTAGAAGAGTCTCAAAGATAACCTGAAAAAGGGGGAGAGGGGACTTGTGACATTTTAATAGATAAAGAAAACGCAGTTTCCATTTCCTTGCCTCTACCACCATCTCCCTCTTCCCCTAGAAATTCTGAGGTGCTGAGCCTGGAGGATGGGAGAAGTAGTGAAATCACATCCCAAGGAGAATGAAAGGTAGGTGGGAGGCGAACAAGATGTTTAATCAAACTATTTAGAATGATTTGTCTGTTTCAGCATTGACTGCCCTCCCCCTTTAGTCCTGTTCCTGATGTTCCTTGAAGGCACCCTCTTAAAGTTTCCAGCTTCCCTTCTTGGGAAGAGGACACTCATGTAGTTCTCTCTACAAAGGGAGAATTGTAGTTACAGTCCTTTTGCACCTCACTGTGGTTTCCCCAGTGTTCGGCATCCGTGATTAATCTTTCTCCAGGGGCTATAACAATTGCCAATCGTCCTTCATAAAGCAAACTGCTCTTTTTCTTCAGGTAAAAGGAATAGGGTATGTCTACACTACAGCGTTATCTTGAAATAAGTTATTTCAAAATAACACATCTACACACAAAATGCATTTCAAAAGAGTGCATCCACACTGAGTGGATGCTGAATCGCATTTAAGGCTGGCTGGAACTAGGTCCAGCAGAGCATCAGGTCAGGAGTTACTTTGTGTGGCTGCTGCCTGAGGCTATCTAAGGCCTGTGCTTAAAGGGACTCCCCCTGGACAGCTGGTCCTCAGGTTTCCCTGCTTGCTTGCCTACCTCGATGAGGGACAGGTGTGCTCTCTTGGTTACAATCTATGTGAATTTCTTAATTGAACATGAAACTAGACTGGACAGTTTAGCTGTTTCTTTATTCAGCTCAGACCTTTGATCTCCAGTTTCCAGGAACAGGTAATCATCAGTCAATAACTTTCTTCTCATGGCATAGCTTCAAAAGGCTGCACTTTGCGTAACCAGAGTTGTACAATTTTCATTAATCACTCCTCAGGGATTTCCCCCACTTATTATCCCAAAAGTCCATGCCTGTCTGGCACATCTCAATCTGGCACATCCCACATGCCTGTGGGAAAGCTAAGGCCCAGGGGCCCGATGCAGTCCCTGGCTTGCCTGGATCCATCCCCTGAGACTCAGGGATTCCCACCCTTCCCCAGCATTGGGGAACCCACACTGTCACTCCAGTCCCGCCCCTCCGCCCCATGGGGCTCAAGTACACAAAATCCACTAGTGTGGTCCCCCCTAGGCTCTGGTGTATAAGGGGAATGTTAGATTAGAATAGTTTAATGGAAGCTGTGATTTTAAAACTAATTTTGCTACATTGGTGCGATTTTGTATGTGGATACTCTTAAAGTTATTTAAATATAGTTTATAGCACATTAGCATGTTTACACACAGGTCTAAAAGGGTGCCATTTTGTGTCTACACAAGTCCTTATATTTTGGAAAAAGAAAACCTTTGTGAAAGATTCCCCACTTTCAACTTGCAATCGAGCTGGGAGAGCTATGCGTCTACATCTGAACTTAAAAAGAGATTCTCTAGCAAACTCAGGGAAGAACAGACGAAGGCCTTATCTACTCTTCAGAGTTAAGTTGACTTAAGTTATGTTGATAATCAGGGCTTGATGAACGGCAGCGAAAGCCGCTCGCCAGCCCCACACTGCGCATGCACAAGACCCACATTGCGTATGCGCTCGCCGCAAATGAACGGGGCACCCGGCAGAAATCTACTCACCACGGGTGAGTAGATTCAATACTTTGTTGAGCCCTGTCAATAATCATAAACCATTGTAATTATATCACTTGTGCATGTGCACACAATGCTCTTTGTGTTAGCAGGACGCATCCACTCTTGGCACTCTAGCACCAACAGAAAGAGTGCACCATGGGTAGCAATCCCATTGTGGAAATCACTACTTTCTCCTGATAGGAGTTCTGGGAATGGATTGCAGCGCATCATGGGAATGGGATAATTGCCTCTATGATGTGGTTATATTAATCCCGTAACTATAGGGGCTTCCCACTGCATTGCATGTCATTTTTCAACTGTCCTAAAAACTTTTCTGTGGTTTGGCTCCTGCTCTGCTCACCAGCATTGTGATAAGCATTATGAACATACCACCATTGTTCTTGCAGTCTTTCATGAGCTTCAAATTTGAACAGGAATCTGTGCTGCCTGCTCTGCTGTGGAAAGAAATAATTCAGGATTGATATTGACATTCACAAAGCCACTGTGCATGGTGGTCCATCACAATTGGGATCAAGAAACAAACATTGAGTGGTGGGATCAGATTGTAATGCAGCTATGGGATGACAAGCATATCTGCGGCTGCAGAATTTCTTATGCCCAAAGCCATTTCTTATGCCCGGAGCTCGTCCTCACCATTCAGTGCAAGGCCACCAAAATCAGAGCACTCCTAATGGTGGAGAAGTGAGTGGTGATCGCTGTGTGGAAGCTAACAACTTGCAAACAATTACAGGTGGGAGGTTGGGGTTTTGAAGCATGTGGGGCCATTAAGCGCCCCCTGCTACAAAGAACTGTGACTCTGGGCAATGTGCAGGAAATCGTGAATAGCTTTGCAGAAATTGGATTTCCTAACTGTGGTGGGGCAGTGGATGGCAAGCATATCCCAATTTTGAACCTAGACAATCTTGTCACAGAGTACATCAACAGAAAAAGTTATTTCTCTAAAAAACAACAAATAGTCTGGTAGCACTTTATAGACTAACAAAACATGTAGATGATATCATGAGCTTTCGTGGGCACAGCCCACTTCTTCAGATGACCAGAGTTACCTGAAGAACTCTGGTCATCTGAAGAAGTTGGCTGTGCCCACGAAAGCTCATGATACCATTACATGTTTTGTTGGTCTATAAAGTGCTACCAGACTATTTGGTTTTTTTTTTCTGTAACAGACTAACTCGGCTACCCCCTGAGGTTTCTATTTTTCTAAGGTATTGCAGGTGCTGGTGGGTCACCAGAATCATTTCTCTGACATCAATGAGGGGTGGTCAGGGAAGGTGCATGACCCACACATCTTCAGGAACACTGGCCTATATAGAAAGCTGCATGCAGAGATTTACTTTCTGGACCAGAAGATTTCAACAGGGTAAGTGTAAATATCCATAGTGATCCCAGGAGATCCACCCATCCCTTATTCCCATGGCTCATGAAGCCATATACCAGAAACCCTGACAGCAGTAAGGACCACTTCAACAACTAGAGATGTTAGATATCGGATAATTGTGTAACTGCATGAATTCTTTTCAGTCACACCACTGTTCAATAGTCCCCAGGCATGGGACTGGCAGCCAGTGCGCTCTGCCTCGAATCCTGGGGAACCCCCTGCCATCCTGCACTGCTGCCTCTGTATCACATGCAGCAGCACGTGGTGCCAGGCAGGAGGTAGTCTGTGAGGGGAGCCAGTTTAAAAAACAGACCGGCTGCTGTCACCCCATGCTGCTGCCTCTGTAACAGCTCCCCACGGATAGAGGCTACTGCGGGGCGGGAGAGGCTGCTGTAAAGCAGCCTCTGTCTGTGGCAGCCTGGGATGGCTGTGGACATAGCCTGGTCTAGCAGCAGCCCGTCAGGCCCAAGCTCCCCATAGACAGAGGCTGTTCCATCTCCCACAGAGTAGCCTCTGTCTTTGGGGAGCTTGGGCCTGCTGTAGACAGAGGCTGCTTTGCGGCAGCCTTCCTTGCCCACCCTCACAGTGTTACCTCTGATAGAGCAACAGTGTGAGGGGAAGGCGGCACCTTGGAGCCGGTGCTGGAGAGAGATGGCTTTTAAATCGGCTCCCCACCCCAGCTCCATCTTCCTCCCTCCTTGCTGTCTCTCAAACAGAGAAATGCATGTAGTCAATGAGATTAACTGATAAGACTAGGCTTATTGTTAACCATATATTCGACTACAAGTTGACATCCCTATCAACAACAGAATTGGCACATGCAGAATGACCACAGAATATATATTTGACAGATTATAGGGTCACTGACACATTAGATCTCATTGAAAATATTCTCATGGTCATAGCCATAGGCACTGACTTATGTATTGCCAATGGGTGCTTTTGAACATGCGTGTGTGTTTGGGGAAACCGTGCTTCCAGAATTCTGTAAATGACACCAAGATTTTTCTTGATGGATAACAGCTAATGTAGGCACCATCATTTTGTATGTATAATTGAGATTATATTTTGTGAGGTACATTACTTTGCATTTAACTCTGAATGTCCCAGTTTTGAGACCCCTTTGTAACTCTTTGCAGTCTGTTTTGACTATCTTGAGTAGTTTTGTATCATCTGCAGATAATTCATGAATATGTTGAACAGCACAGGTAGTAAATCACCTTGGGGACACCACTATTTCCTTCCATTCTGAATATGTACAATGTAATTCTTATTCATTTCCTATCTTTTAACTAGAGTGCCTGGCAATGTTTTTGGGATCATCTAATAATCCTTAATTTAATGAGAAGCATTTTATCTTAACCATTCTGCCTCTGTTTATAAACAAACTCCCTGCACCACTGGCAGAGTTGTTAGTAGCACAGAACTTGTAACATTCCACTTAAATTCTGGATCCTAGGTGCTGATTACCCTCTATTTTTTCTGTGGGTGTTTGAGGCCTGGAGGGGACCCATGGATTGGGTGCCTATATGATGATAGCAGCCTGCTGTGCTTTGTATAATATTTATGAAGTAAAGGGGGAAATGTTTTCCCACTGATGGAGGACTAAGCTGGGTATCCTGGGAGCTAATTTTGAGCAGCCAGACTCCAAAGCCATGACAGGGCCTCAGGGAGGGGGAGTGGGGGTGGCTATTTGAATCAGGGAGGCTTTGTAGCAGCGTTTTGATACTAAGTCCCAGTAATATATCTTACTGTAATTAAGGCATTGTTTCCTTGCCATTTGGGGAGCCACTATAATGATTCTGGCCTGAGCATTAATGGTAGCCTGCAAATGTATTGATTGCCAATCTACATGATTTTATTTATCATGAAACAGCAATGCACAGATTAACATTTCTTACAAGGCACATGACCATAATCACCACTCTCTGAACTAAGGATGTCATAGCTACATGAAAGTCCAGGAAAATGTCCATAGGGGTGGACCGCAGGATACTGCAATGGGCCAGGAATGTGAGAACAACATGTGAGGGGGAAGGGAGTTTGAGAAGGCAAGGAAGGAAGTTCTGTATTGCCTTCAAGAAGAATCAAGCACAGATGTGTTCTGCCTGTACCACAATCAGGGATCTTAGCATCTCTGTTTGGTCCTCCCATGAGTTTTATGATCCACTCATGTCCCAGTCTCATCTCCAGGCCATCCGTTTCTAGTTTTTTATTTCTCTCCATTCATCATGCCCACTATTGGCCAGATTGATGTTTGAAGCAATTATGATAGAGGTGTTCCACCAGTAGGTAGGAGTTATCCCTCAAGGGCACAGCTAGGCTGCGTCTAGACTGGCATGATTTTGCGCAAATAATTTTAATGGAAAAGTTTTTCTGTTAAAAGTATTTGTGCAAGAGAGCGTCTATACTGGCATGTGCCTTTGCGCAAAAGCATCCATGCCAGTGTAGACACTCTCTTGCGCAAGAAAGCTCCGATGGCCATTTTAGCCATCGGGCTTTCTTGCGCAAGAAATGAACATGGCTGTCTACACTGGCCCTCTTGCGTAAGAATACTTGCGCCAAGAGGGATTATCCCTGAGCGGGAGCGTCGGAGTATTTGCGCAAGTACCACTGATTTTGTACATTACAAAGTCAGAGTTCTTGTGCAAATACTCCCGGCCAGTTCGGGCTTTTTTTGCGCAAGAGAGTGTCTACACTGGCATGGATGCTTTTGCGCAAAGGCACATGCCAGTATAGACGCTCTCTTGCACAAATACTTTTAACAGAAAAACTTTTCCATTAAAATTATTTGCGCAAAATCATGCCAGTCTAGGTGCAGCCCTAAAGAAGCAAAAGAAACAATATACTGTACATAGTCAGTACTATTTGCGCACTCTGCCTTGAATCACAAAATACACACAGCCCTTCCTCACTTTCCCAAGGCAAGCACACAGGGTGCCCAAAGCACTAAATCTGGTGAGTTTGGCCTGGTGTGGGAGAGGGCAAAAAGGCACAAAAGGTTTGGGTGGTTTCACAAGGGGATCAGCACAAGTCCCTGGAGAAGCTACTCTGGATACTGGCGCTGATTTCCACAGGCAGGGGTAATCAAACCTGAAACCACACTACTGAGGGTAACCGAAGGTGCAAAAATGCATCACCTGCATACGTGCAGCTTTAACAGGTCTGTCTGCTGCTCACTTGTGTGCTACTATAGTTCCTCCAGAAGTAATAGTTGGATTAGGATCTCAATGTTTCTCACAACAGGAAAGAAACAAAGCAGCTTTGCTATGGAACCTTCAGCAGAGTATCTACAGGATTGTTTCCCAGAGGAAGATTCCAAGGAGATGTCCGTGTGCATTAACAAACCCCCTCCCCTGAGCAATGCAACTGACAGCTGGGGGAGCGGAATGGGCTGGGACCAGGTTGCTTCACTTTCCACCGCCACTGAGTGCAGGAGCAGGCCTTTTTTCTACAGCCCTCTTGCTAGTCCACTGGGTTTCCCAGGATGGTTGCCCCAAAACATCCAATGGACGGGACGGACTCACCAACAGCTTGACTCTTCATGCCCCTCTCCCATGCATCATCCCTGGGCTAGACACTTCTAGGCTACATCTACATTGGGCGTTCTTGCGCAAGAACATATTCAAATGAGGCACGGCGATGAATATTGCCACGCCTCATTGGCATACTTAATGAGCTGCCAGTTTTGCGCAAGTGGCTTTTGCACATGAAGGAGCAGTCTACACTGCTCCTTAGCACGCAAAACTCCCCTCTTGCGCAAGAGCCGTTCTGCCACTTATTTTCAAGCAGAACGGCTCTTGCGCAAGAGGGGATTTTTGCGCAAGAAGGAGCAGTTTAGACTGCTCCTTCTAGAGCAAAAGCCCCTTGCGCAAAAATGGCAGCTCATTAAATATGCCAATGAGGCACTGCGATATTCATCACCGCACCTCATTTGCATATGTTCTTGCACAAGAAAGCGCAATGTAGACGTAGCCCTAGAGTTAAAAAACGGTTCTGGCTCTCCATGCCACCAGAGAAGCCAGGCACCTGTCCCACATCCTCCTCCAACTTGACTTCCTTGTCCACCACTTTGTTCTTGGGGTTGACTCCGCTGATTATAGTCATCCTGAAATATCCACAGGATTTTTGGCAGTGGAAGTTGGGTTGCTGCTAAGGATGGCATGCAACTTCTTGTAGAAGTGGCATGTTTTTGGCCCTGTACCAGAGTGATGGCTGGCCTCCCTTGCCTTGTTGTACACCTGCCTCAGTTCCTTAATCTTAGTACAGCACTGCTGTATGCCTCTTCCATGCCATGGACAATCTGCTCATTGATATCAAAGTTCCTATGACAGGATCAACACTGCAACTGAACAGCCTCCTCTCCCCACATGAAACAGATCCAGCAACTCCAATGTACAGGCAGTCCCCGAGTTACGCGGATCCGACTTATGTCGGATCTGCAGTTACGAACGGGGCTTTTCTTGCCCCGGAGGACGGGAGCGGTGGGACGCCCAGATGCGCCGCAGTCCCGCCGCCCGCGTCCTCCGGGGTGAGAAAAGCTGCTCCACGTCTCCCTGGTCTGCTGGTCTGGGCTGTCCCACTGGCCGCGTGCTGTCCCACTGGCCGCATGCTCCGCGGCTTTGCTCCGCGTCTCCCTGGTCTGCTGGGGGAAGCCCCCCGCAGAAGACCAGGGAGACGTGGAGGATGCGGGCGGGACCGCAGCATGTCTCGGCGGTCCCGCCACCTGCGTCCTCCGCGGCGGTAAAAGCCGCTCCGCGACTCCCCGGTCTGCCGGGGGGAAGCACCCCC